CTACTTCTGGAAAATCCCTGTGTGTCGTACTAGTGATTGGTTCCTGAAGCTGTGCAGGTACGTCTTGCGACGCACTACGACCAAGAATTTCTTACGGGGTGCTAGTCCTCAATACATTCTAGCTCCCACGGCCGACACCCGTGCAGCTCAATTTGTCAGCACCCGAAACCACTTGCAGTTTGGGATAATCACTTCCACCCTGCTTGGAATACTCCTTAGATACTGAAAAACGTCGCTTACCGTGGTTGGACGAGACGATCCCCGTCGCCAGGCCATCACCCTCGGTGTTGTGCACCACCGATCGGCCCCCCTCCTCCTCAACAATTCCACCCGCCGAGTCGTCTGCGATATTCTCGCGTGATGATTGTTTTCGCTTCAATTCAGCCTCCCCGAGATTCTGTTTTGATCCCGGTCCTGGGCTCTGCTTTCTTCCCTTCTGCCCGCGATATTTCTTTTCGTCATCACAATACCCGGGACCTCCTTCACCCTGCACCATCGCTCCTCGAGATTTCTTTTCAATCTCGTAATATCTTTCACCCCTTCCACTCTTCACCTCCACTCCGCGAGAATTGGTTTCTAGACTATTTCGCAATACCGTTCACTCCTGTTTCCCTTCACCTCCCCCTCCTTCCTCTCTTCTTTCTCTGCCTGATCACCCACAAAGCATCTCGGCCAAGGTGCTACCGTCAAGCTGGCCAACTGACCGTCGCACCATCAGTTATTCCTCTCCCTCCTCCTCTCCTCCTCGTCGAGCACCGGAATCGATCCCATGATCACCGTTCGAATAAATCCAGTGGGTTGATGTTGGAGTCACAGTTTTTCTTGGTCTCTTTCCCGCCCATAGCATTCTTCTGCACACATGAATGCCAGAGACGACACATGAAAAAAAGTACAGACTATCACTTGGAAACCCCGGGGATATGACTACCTCATCCTACACGGCATGTACAAGGCTTAGTTGGAGAAAAGACAAACCCTACAATAGGTCGCCCGTTCTTAGGTGATCACGGTTGATGTTTCAAACAATACGGAAAGGTGATGTGCGACGGGGAAAGGGATTCATGGCGTAGATGGGCAGCATATCACACGCACGCGCACACCTCACGCAAAGACTCCTCTTGGCAAACTATCTTAACAACGTAGTACGTAATAGGGGGAAAGCTAAAGCTCCGACAATATGTCCCTTTAACTACCGTAATAGTCGGAGAGTTGGCATCGGTTGTGATCGTTTTTTCAAATGATTTTTCCGCTGTTTTTTTTTATCGCACCCCGGTGCCATCTCTGCGACCGGTGCCATCTCTCACCCCCCGTGCGGAAATGCAATTAAATCACTTCTTTTAGTTTTTCCAAGGCACCCCGGTGCGATCTTTCCGACTGGTGCCATCCCCGATGAAATACACACAGGTCTTGTATGCACGCAGGCACCCCGGTGCCATCTCCCCGACCGGTAAGACAGTATTGCTACCAGTGTCGGCACCTGCACACACGGTCTTCTTCACACGCTAGTTGCTCATGCTATTGATCAGCATAGAACCACACGTACGTGTAGGAACCGTTGTTGCTGGTTGGAAGCACACCGGTGACGGCAACGTAGGCTGGTACGTGAATAGTAGCTTTCCATGCAGCGAGTGGTCTTGTGTTTGATGCGAGTTTGGCTATGGCGTGACAACAAATGTCGTTTCCATCTGAGGTGGTACCAGTGCACGGTATCAATTGTTTCCCGCTTTCGTTTCGGTCTCCGTTTACGGATACCCGTACGTAGACTATGCAGCAGTACAATAGTTTCGGGTTGTGAAAGGTGGGGTAGGGTGCGGCTTGTACATTTTTTTTTTTTTTTGTGTATGGTTGGCAAGTTCCATGCCAATTAAAGAATGAAATCGACTGGCATCCCGTGTGAACCGCGACCATCCAATCGTACGCAAAGGAGTGGCGCTCCGCTGACACCGTCCCCACGTGTAAAAGGTACGCTCATATACCTCGATCTGGCAGCTGCAAAGGAGCTCAATCTTGGATTTGGGGGTCGGAGAGATCGCACCCGGTGCGATCTCCCCGACCCCGGTGCGTTAATCGTTTGTTTTTTTTCTCGGGTTTTTCATCGCACCCCGGTGCCATCTCTCCGACCGGTGCCATCTCTCCGGCCGGTGCCAACTCTCCGACTAATACGGTACGAATCTTTCCACAGTACAGCCAACTGGCAACTTTGTATCATCTGTTCATAATGTCCGAGTGAAAGAAGTCGTTGGCGTCCACCAATCTGAACTCTTCCTCCGACACTGGAGTTCCTCCCTTCATCTTGAGCTTGAGGTTGTAGCGGTGCAGGTCGCTCTTGTAGTGCTCTCGGTGTGCCCCCTGCGGCATGTGCAATAGCGGATGACAACGGGGTTTGGTTCGCCCAAGCAGGGAAGCCGGGTGTATTGTATGGCTACAGACATGCAGACACATCGATTTGCAGATAAAAAAAACTGACGGGTGAAGAACTGCAAAAAGTGACAGTTGGGATAACTGGCCTGCGAGTCAGTGCAGCCGAGGAGAGCAACGCATCTCCACATATCTGTGAACCACGTAATTTATACAGGATAAAACACGTGGTGGCCTTACACAAGATCAAAATTTTACCAGCATAACCTCGGCACCCGTAGTCATATCATCATCCACCTCACCGTGTCTGGGAAGGTCAGACCGCACGTGTTGCAGCCCAGCGGCCTCTTCGCCTTGCCAACGTCTCCGCCTCCTTGCTCACGGGCATCTTGATCTCGTTCTGTAGCTCCCGCTGCTCTACCAGCACCCTCTGCGAGACGTTCTGCCTTTGCCTGCTCCCGCTTCTCTTGTCTCTGCTGGGCCTCCTGTGGAGGAGTCCGTGAAAAAAATATAGATGTGGATGGTCGGGTGTGCATCATGTAAGATTGGCTTGGGACGCACACAAAGCGCACCGAATTCTGCCTGCGAGTTGAGGGTTCGATGGGAGGATTGCTCGAACGAACGGATTCAGCGAGACCGATCGTCAAGGTGTATGGCCTGCGTCCATCATCACCTTCCTTTCCGAGCACGTGGCCAGCAATTCGTGCGGGTGAGGGGAAGCGCAGACGAGTTCAACCGTCAAATCAATCCGAGAAGATCGCAAGCCAATTAACAACCGAAAACTACGCTGCGACCGACGCAACAAAAGAGACGCAAGCGCCGACGGTACAAACAACCGAACGAAAGCAATTGCACCTGTTCAAGGCAAGATAGCACCAAATTCTCCGACAAACGGGCACGACATGCACACCGCACTAGCAATACGGTAACCCTAACCCTTGCGGACGACACGCAAGCACGGATAAACGAGACACGGGAAGAAACCGCGCACACACAACACCGCCGTGACGTCATCCCATTGGTCAGCCGGTTCGCGGTCAGTGCGAAAAAACAAAAAATACAAACAACACACACCACACACACACACACACACACACCTGTTGGCGGATGTCGCGCTCCGCCGCTTCTTCCTTCTCCCGCCGGCGTGCCCCCTTTCCCTTCTTCCCACCACGCTTGCCCACGCCCCCTTCCCCAGCCCCCCGGCCCTCTCCTCGGGCTCCTCCACCTCCGCCGCCTCCCTTTCGCCTGTCTTGGTCGTTGTCGTTGTAGTCGTCGGAGAAGCCAGGGCGTCCTTTGCCGCGCCTTCCGGCCGCTGGTTTTCGATACACCCAAGAGACAGGAGTTTGACGTGCAAACCCGTGGACGGCACGAGAATAGACAGAAAGAGGGGGCGTGATGAATGCCGAGAAGAGAAGAGAGAGAGAGTGGGGAGCGGGTGACCAACTGCTTTTGTCATATGTGTGGCTTGGCGGAGTTCTCTTGCTGCCAATGCCAACAGCACAGGTACAAGCCCCACGATAAACCTACGGGATGTATCGACCGGTGGGTGTAGCTTGTTCCCCGCTCCTCCATGGCGGTGAAATTTTCCACATCGCATGGTTCTCCCCCATCGCACAGCAACTCACCCGGCATGATTAGCCCCTCCTCCTCTTCCTCCTCTGCATCTGCATCTGCATCTGCAGAGTCGTTACCACCACCACCGTCACCGCCACCCTTCCCGCCGCGACCTTTCTTGCCACGACTTCTTCCCTCCTCCTCCCCCTTAAGCTTGACGGCTAGCAGCTCCTTCCTCATCAACTCCACGTCCATGTCCGCCTCGCCCTCTTGCTGCACAGAAAGCTGCAGGACTTCAAGCGCACACCGCCCTCTGCCAGCAAACACGGTCGTGGGAGGCGGATGGGAGGCCAACAGCGGAGGAGCAGGGTGTGTATACCGTGTAGTGGGCATCGGCGGTTTTTGGGCGGGTCACGGTTGGCCAGTCAAAGGTCAAGTTTGAAAGAGACGAGCACGACCTGCACCCCATCCCTTCCAAAAGATATGTAGTGTGGCAAAAAAAACAAGAAATTATGAACCACCCTTCACTTCAGGACGTCCACTCAAAACGTGTTGCCGATGTATCGCTCCCGAAACCAAAAAACGTGAACATTAAACAAACAAAACATCAATAGACACATACAGTTAAGGTCGAGACTGATACACTTTGCTGATACACTTTCATTCAAGTATCCTAGAAAATACGTGTAGTATGCCACAAACACGCCAACCTACCCTGCGGCAGTCCTGACGGCCTCCTCGACGTCCCTGTACAAACCGGGGTCGACCAGGAAATCGAGCACTTCGCCGCTGCTGCCCGCCGCCGCACCCCCCCCGTTCTCGAAGCTATCCACTCCGAGCTCCCCGAGGGCCTCCTTAAGCGGCGTCGAGTCTTCGTCCGTGGAAATTCTGAGCTTCATCTTGGCCCTGTCGATGGGCATGACTTCCTTGAGCTTCTTGATAACCTCGAGGGCCTGCAGGAAGGAGGAGGAAGGAGGGAGAGGGTGGAAGGCAGCGGTGGAGCTACATAGATTGCGGAGCCCCCACACGTGGGACTGCCGTGCGAGTCAGGCTAGACAACACTGTACGCGAGAGGTCATCACGCACGAGAGCTGAAGGGCCAATGCTCTCCGCACTAACGATGGAATGCCTGGATATGTGCCCTTGCAACCATTACACGCACAGCACATACGGTTATTGGGTCACCGCTGGCAAGCATGCAACGCGAGTTCAATTCTATTTGCGCAGAGCGCTTCAACGGTAGCTCTCACACGTTCTCTCTCTCGGATTCTTTCCGCAACAGACCTACCAGTCGAAACCTAGCAAAAGTAAACGCAAAATCGGAAAACACCCGGCCCGATCAGATCCTCCTCCTTAACGCAGTCGGAATGCATCTCACTACACCCTGCTACGAGAAGAACATGACGTGACGCACCTGTTGCTTGGCGCTCCTTGTGGGATGAGCCGAGAAGTGGACATCCCGCATCGCCTTCTCGATCATGGAAACCTACAGTCCATAGATACACCAGATAGATCAGATAGATGGCACCAGGCACCAAGTGATAAGTGGCCCACGCCCAGGGGAAAGATCGTGGTGCGCGGGGCCAATCAGGTGCAGCCATTTTGTGTTGCTGGGCGTTTCGTAATCTACAAGCAACGCTGACAGTAAAAACACGCCGTTGCCTCCGGAACGATCACGAGGTGCACCTAACTCTCACATCTAACATCTATCATTTCTCTTAGTACATGGCATCTTACATCTTACATCTTGTCGACCAGGCGCACTCGCTTAGCGAGGTCATCAACCTCTCAAAGATGGACCCGCCCCCCCCCACTTGGTTTGCAGCGCATGGGTTCATGGGGCAAGTTTCCCTTCACTTCAGTGACAAACAAACAGAAAAACGCGGGATAAACCTGGTTTCATCTCCCGGCGGAATAACCTAATGGGGGCCCGCGTGTACGGCACTCACTGTGTAGGGACGGTTGGAGGCAGGGTTGACGCACTTCTCCGACACGATGGTAGCCACGTCGCGGAACACGCTCTCCAGAGCTACTTGCCGCTCCTTGTCCGAAACCTGTGTGTGTGGCGGCGAGAGCACACACACACACACACACACACACACACACACACACACACACACAC